ATTCATTCCAATTGAAAACTCTAATGATAATAGTTAACATCTTGCACTGTCACTGTGTGCCAGCCATTGTGTCAAGAGCTTTCCGTGCATTATGTTCCTCACAACAGATGAGGAAACTGAGGCTCAGAGAATCGAGGCAAACTCATCACGTCTCAGTTTGTATATCAAGTAAACAAGAGTCGGGTCCCAAGGTCTTACTCCAAAATTGTGTTCAATAGCCATCATGTTGTATTTCTTCCTCTGCCTCCCTGCAATCGACATATCCTTGTAATCAGGAGCAGGTTTTTCTTAAGGAGCCAAAAGAGAGAAGAGATAATTTAGATGATAGGAGGAAAATTGTGGCAGAGCACATCTTTGTCACAAACAAGCCTTTGAAAATATCAGATGACTGAACTAAAATAAATGGAAGAGAGTGTACTTATTTGATGTGGGGTATGGTTTACTGCTATAGAAAACCAGCAATGGCCAAGGGACCAGTACCTCAAAGACGAAGACCAGTGACAGAGCTGGCAGGACAGGAGCTTTTGCTCACTGTATTCTAGGATGGGGTGGTAAAAGGCTAGGACACTTTGTAAGCATCTCTAGATTATAACTTTTGTCTTTTGGATTATGGAGATGCCAAGAGAAGCAGTACAGAAATAGGGCTTTTCACAATTTCAGGAGACACTTAAGTGAGAATGCAGCATTTCTCTTGTAATAAAGGTTAGGTAGGTTAGAAATCTCTTCCCCTTTTCAATGAACCAAGACATTGCTAAGTAGTTAGTACAGTGGCCATGTGTTTAACTGACACAGAGGGGAGAGCCGGACAGACTTGGTTTGCATCCGTGCATCTCTATGCAGGCATATCCTCCAATCTCCCAGACTCAGTTTCCTTATCTGCAGCATGGTGTTAGAATGCTTACACTGCTGGGCTGGGCGTGGTGGCTTTCGTCTGTAATCCCAGCACTTTGGGTGGCCGAGGCTGCAGATCACCTGAGGTCAGCAGTTTGAGACCAGCCTGGTCAACAAGGCGAAACCCCATCTCTACTAAAAATACAAAAATTAGCCGGATGTGGTGGGCACCTGTAATTCCAGGTGCTCGGGGGCTGAGACAGGAGAACTGCTTGAACCTGGGAGGTGGAGGTTGCAGTGAGCTGAGATTGAGTCACTGCACTCCAGCCTGGGTGACAGAGCGAGACTCTGTCTCAAAAAAAAAAAAAAAAAAAAAAAAAGAATGCTTACCTTGCTGGCTTGTTGTGAGGATCAGAGATCACATACAATTGTGGCTGGCATAGAGTAGGTACTTGATAAATGGTAGTTATTACCAGCCCACCGTTTTTACCAGGTAGGTGAAAGAAGGCTAAGCCAAGGAAGGGAAAAATGTTAAAGGCTGAAAAAAAAAAAAAAAAAAAAAAAAACAGAGGGAGGGATAGGGTGGTGGCATCTGGCCTGCGAGCCCCGCTGTTGCCCCTCCCAAACTCTGTCCTTTTAACAAGCCATATGCAGCTTCCAACAGATGAGATCTGGTGTCTGCAAAGACAAAGCAGAGCCAAAAGGCGATGTAACATGAAATTATAGACTGCTTTTCCCTCTAATGAGCCAGCCCGCTCATTTAGAATGCAGTGCTGTTTGGAGCCCAGACTGGGCGGCATGTGCAGCCGTGCGCCCGCGCCGTTCCTCACGTGCACACGGGTGGCTTGAGCGCGCGAGCATGACTGCCAATATCACGGTTGGTTAGCTTCTGGCGCAATAGTGGGCGGTGTAGTGTGTGCAGGAGGCGGGGCGCTGGAGCCGCTGTCAAGGACGACTGTGGGAGTCACGCAGCCTCTAAGCTGCTTGGGAAATGGACTCTCATCAGTCAATACTCTCAAGATCTTGCTGAGTACAGAGGTACTTTGGGAGGGAAGTGAGAGAAAGAAGAGATACTAGCTTCCCCCAGAGGGCTTCCTGACTACCCAGCTGGAAGACCACACACACACCAGTAACACCTACTACATACACGCATCATGTGCACACGCCACACAGACCATGCATATACATGTACCATATACCACACATATGTACACACACGCTACACACATACCATGTGCACCTGCCACACAGACCATGTACATATAGATACCATAGATCACACATATGTACACACATGCTACACAGACACATCGTGTGCACATGCCACACAGACCATGCACATACATCTACCATACACCACACATATGCACACACACTACACACACATCATGTGCACATGCCACACAGACCATGCACATGCATATACCATATACCACACATATGTACACATGCTACACACATGTGCAATACCACACAGACTATGCACGTACATATACCACATGTCACACATATGTACACACACACACCAAACACATGGACACACATGCACATTACACACAGGCCACACCATATGTACACCACACACCACACTCATGTGCATACACTGTGTGTACCATGCGTGTAAACATACATACTCTATACATATACCACACACATAGACACACGTCATGCACATAACTGCCACACACAGACCACAGACATATGCATGCACACATATCACACCACATATGCACAACATATGTGCACACACTACATGCACCACATACGTGTGTGCACATGCATATCACACAGAGGGCACACATACCACATGAACACATACTGCATGCACCACACATGTACATACACCCCACGCTTTACACACATACCACACACATATGCCACATACAACACATATATACAGATCTATATTTATCACACACACACGCACATATCAATCCCATGCTGTACTCATGCACCACATACACACACTTTTACGTATAGATACCACATAGATATACTACACATGCATACAGATGACCTACACTCCACATCACACATCACACCTGCACACCCCATGTACATGCATGTGTCACACCCACAATTCTATACATACTATGTACATGTAGATAAACCCATCATAAAATACATACCTCCTACAGATCACATATATATGCATACATAAATATTACATGTCACACAAATATATATACCACACTTATAGTGCACACTTGTACACACATGCAAACACCATGCAAATACCCCACACAAAACACACACGTACACATCACACACATAAAAACACACTCCTCTACACTACACGCATAAGTACACACCACACACACTACACACATACACAAAATCCTCCTATGCACACACACATATTCATACCACAAACATATATACACATGTACCACCCATGCCCCTGGCATATCACACATCACATACACACACATCATACACGTGCATACATAACACCAAGTATATACACACAAAACACCACACAGCATACATGTATGTATACCACATATACATACATGTGCCCCTACACCCTACACACACATATACAAGTTACACACAAGTACACACACCACACACATCACCCTCATGCACATACCCCCTACACGTACCACACATGTTCACACAGTACATGTAAATACACACATAGTACACACATGTATCACACACATCTATATACCCCTCATACAAAACACACCCCCATACCACATACATACACAGCTCAACCACATACACATACCACACATACATCACATACATACACATGCCACACACCACACACCTGATCACACAACACACATGATGCACACACATGCAGAAATCTCTTCCACGTCCACACACATGACACATACACTCACTACTACACAACATACATGACCTCACACACAGCCCATAAACCCAGATGCTAGCAGACACAAATGTGTCTTGCTGTGTCCCCTTGCAAAAGTGTATTCCTTTGGGGACCAGGACTCTAACATTGCAGAGCCTGGAGTTGTGGGGCAGGAAGTACCAATTGAACCAGTAGTCATAGATTTAAGGAGGGTCCCTGCTGCTTCCATTCATTGATTCCTGGACCCATGTACTTTTCCCACTGGGACACACCACCACAAAGGGGCCTCTGACTTAATGCACACACTGCGTCCTAGAGAATGATGTCCCATCCCCTCTGAGTCAGCATATCAGCTGCCCTTTTCGAGTGAGTTTTCAGGATTCCAAGGCTGGCTGTTTTTGGATGGTGTGACAGGTGATAGAGTGAGTGTGTCCCATGGCTCCACCCCCTCATTTGCTTCACTGTGAAGTGGGTCCCCTGTTGGATGCTGTATTACTTGAGATGTTGAGACTGTGGATCAGGGATACTGTAAACCCTTGGAGAGTGGTGCTGGCTGAGACTCTGTGGGCAGACAGGGCAAATTCATTTTGAGATTGGTACCCATACCTGTGGACTGCTGACTGTTCTAGGATAACAGGGGCCCAGTGTAAGTGACCCAGTGTAAGTGACTTGTCATCACATGGTCCATTGGGCTCCTTAAGAACTACTGCCATTTCAGGGGCACTAGTTCCAACTAGTGCCAACAGGTTGTGCATTCAAAGGCAGCGGTATCCCGATCAGCCTTGTCAAGTGGAAGCCAGCAGTTTTGGGTCCATACACAGCCTCCATCTCTGTCCCTGTGGTGGTTCCATTCATGTGCTTCTCCTGCCAGCTCAGAGAAAGCTGATAGCAAAGACTGGCTAACAGCAGCTGGCTGCATCATTTTGTCTACTTGGTTGTTCAGTACCTCTTCTGTGAGGATTGAAAGTAACACCTATTACTTTCAGTGAGTATTAAAGTGTGGTGCAGCAATCTTGACACTTAATGCTCAATGCTATGTGTCCATTGACATGCCTCTCCCCCAGGACTCCCCACCAGTCTTTCTCCCAGGCTTCTGGCCAGCCCAGGAGTCTATATACAGTCGACCCCCTTATCTGTGGTTTTGCTTTCCATGGTTTCAGTGACCTGCAGTACCGTGCAATAAGATATTTTGAGAGACAATGTTCATATAACTTTTATTACAATATATTGTGATAATTGCTCTATTTTATTATTGGTCATAGTTGCTAATCTCTTACTATGTCTAATTTATCAATTCAACTTTATCATATATATATGTAAAGTTTGGTACTCTCTGCTGTTTCAGGCATCTTCGGAGGTCTTGGAACACATCCCCCAAGGATAAAGGGGACTACTGTATTCTCAGCTCAGGTCACAAAGTGGATGGTTAGGTGCACTGCTCACTGCTCACTGCTCTACCCATTGAGAAGTTTCCATTCTCTACTGTCTTTCAAGGCAACCCCCTGAATATGGCCGTAATATGGACTGCATTTGTTCCAGCCCCTCTTCTTCAGGAGGTTTGTATCGTAAACGGCCTTGAAAGTTAGAGTTAGTGTCTCCCTCCAGAGCAAAGAGCAGGCATGCTTACTGCCCACTATAGAAGATTTGGGTTCCCCACGCTCAGGGCTACATTCCCCTACAATGTAGCCCACTGCATGTGCAGGTGTCACCTAGAAATTTTTTGCGTTGCTGTACAGGAATGAGAGCTCAGGGAACTGGTGTAAGAAAATGCTGATACTCTGGCTGCTGCGATTGTGCTGAGTAATAAAGTTCTTTGTCTCTGACCTTAAATCTTCTGCCAGCAGCCATACAACAGTGTCAGGATAACTTGTTAGCTTACAGGCAGGGTAAAATCTCAGACCCTTCACAGATCATAAACCAACCTTGGGCTTTCTCCTCTTTCTTTCTTCAGCTGGTCACGTGGGACACTCCTTCGACAAGAGGTAAGAGCTGGGGATAGTGGATGGAATTGTGGAGGGTGACAGGAGGATTTTGCTCCCTGTTCATGCAACTTCCCCCATGCCTTTGGTTCCACTCATTTCCATCTTGCAATAGACTGCTGCTGAGCCTATGTGACCTCATGAATTGGCAGTTTCAAATGAACCTGGATTGAGTAGGGCGTAGTGGCTAATGCCTGTATTCCCAGCACTTGGGGAAGCCGAGGTGGGCAGATCACCTGAGGTCAGGAGTTCAACCAACCTGGCCAACACGGTGAAACCCTATCTCTACTAAAAATACAAAAATTAACCAGGCATGGTGGTGCGTGCCTGTAGTCTTAGCTACTTGGGAGGCTGAGGTGGGACAATCACTTGAACCTGGGAGGCGAAGGTTGCAGTGAGCTGAGATCGGGCTGCTGTACTCCAACCTGGGAAACAGAGTGAGTGAGACTCTGTCTCAAAAACAAACAAACAAACAAACAACAAACAACCCCAGATCACAATGGACAGTCTGTATGCATGGTCACTTGATGTTCCATGGTCCAGCATTCCATTCTGAGCATTCCATGCTCAGAAACATGTGGGGGCTTTCTCAAAAAGCACATAATAATTTTGCTATAGATGGCATAACCTTGTTCCAGAACCCCAGAGGCCTGCATTATTGTTTTCTCATTGGGACTTGCCATAAACTCCATAGTATATCTTTTTTCTAATATTGGCTGTCCCAACACAATAGGGCTTGCTGGACCTTATGGCCTGAGTGGCAGGGCAGCTCGCCCCACAGCCTGGATCTGCTGCAGAGCCCATTCTTGCTCCTGGGCTTTCTGAAAGCTGGCAGTCTTCTGTGTCACCCAATATTCTTGAGTGTGGTATTGGTAGGTATGAAATGTGCTATCTCCAAAAGAAGCCAACGAGGCCTATCAGGTGCTGTACTTCCTTTTATTGTGATAGGGGATGCAAGACATTTGTCTTTTACTTTAGAGATTATATTCTGGAGTCCTAAAGACTTCACGTGGTGGCAGCCTCCTGATTCTTCATATACTTTACCTTCTGCAGGGCATGTGTCTTCCCAAGGCCTCTGGTCTATAGCAACCTCTTATCATCTTGCCCAGTCAGCATGATGTCATCTTTTTAATGGCTCCATATGCCATTCTGCAGGATGTCCACAAGGTCCAGGTCTCCTGGGACTATATTATGGCAGAGGGTGAGTGAGTTTGAAAAGCACCAGAACAAAAACAAATTATAATCAATATCATTTCTTGGTCGCCAAATCAATGACCATGTACCATGTACCTGAGGCTTCTTAATATGTTCTGGGAATAAAATCACATCAGGCACTGCAGCTTTGATCAGTATTACTGCTTGACTAAGCCTGCAGTAGGCAATGGTCATTCTTCAGGATCCATCTGATTTCTCAACTCTATTGAGGGGGCTGTGATAATACTGCAGGTCTCCAGGTATCAACGCCAGCTCAGACCTTGTGTCTGATCATCCTCAAAATATATGATGAATTTCCTTTCCCCAGTGTGTGTAGTTTATTTAGGAAAGGACTAGAGAACTCATTATAGTTTATACTTGCCACGGTGTTATAGTGTCATTCTACTTATGGATCCTGCCACCTCTTAGGTAAATGAGGCCCAGGTCTGAAAATCTTCTCAGACCTGGGAAATAGGTGAATGATGATGACTGTTTATTAGAAGGACCGCCCTCCACCTCCTGCTCCTCTGTTCTTGCCTTCTTCTGATTGTGGCAGCATTCTCATTGACTGACCATCTCTGTCACCCCCCCAACTTATGTTCAACCACCTTGATCTTCCAGGGGTACTCTTCTGGTTTTTTTTGTTTGTTTGTTTTTTGTTTTTTGTTGTTTTTTTGAGACAGGGTCTTGCTCTGTCACCTAGGCTGGAGTACAGTGGTGCAATCTTGACTCACTGCAAACTTTGCCTTCTGGATTCAAGTGATTCTTGTGCCTCAGCCTCCCAAGTGGCTGGGGCTACAGGCGCGTGCCACCATGCCCAGCTAATTTTTGTACATTTAGTAGAGACAGGGCTTTGTCATGTTAGCCAGGCTGGTCTCAAACTCCTGACATCAAGTGATCTATCCACCTCGGACTCCCAGAGTGTTGGGATTACAGGCATGAGCCACTGTGCCTGACTGGTACTCTTCTGGTTCTTGATGGCTTATGCTAGCTAATTCTCACAGCTCTGTTGGGATATAATCTCCTTTTTCCTTATGAAACCCAACATATTCCTGACTGGAGTATGCTGAAATTTCATCTTAGTTATTGACCTGGAAGCCAGAATAAGAGATGGGACAATTTCTGAGGGGAGCACCTGTTACCTTGCTGAGGAGGGGATGTTGCTGTATCTTTCTGAATTGGAAAAATCCTAGTTCTTATTCTGGGGGAGCCACTTCTGAAAGCTCTGAGGCTTCAGAGGAATCTAGAGCAACAAAGCCCTTGGGACCATCCACCCTGATGTACGCATCCCAGTTTTTAGGGTCTCATGTTTCCCCAACTGGGACCCTGATTTCATAGGAGATCTGAATTAGTTTAAGCATCACTGGGGCTTTGAAACTGTAACTATCAGATTCCGAGTTGGCAGCTCAGCTGTGTCTGCTCTTCCAGTGCAGGAGAGAAGAGGCTTCCTATAAACTACCAGGAAGGTCCTCTGACTCCCACTCTTAGCTTTTATCTGTATGTCAACTGCTCTCAGTTTCTCACTATTCCCCTATAGGATACTTGTACTACTTAGTAGCAGCCAGCAAACTCCACTGTACGTGTAGCTTATGTGTTCCTCTTTCAGATGTCTGAGTCATTGCACATGCAAAGCCATTCTCCCCCAGCAGAATGTTTTCTCCCATGAAATCTTAAACAACTGGACTGCCACTAGGTGCCAGGGAATTACCGTACCCCGCATACCCCTCAAGATGGGCTCCTCCTTGTTGGGGAGGACCTGAGTAACCCAGTCGCAAAGCCTTATCTTTACGACCTGTTTCCTAACATCACTCCTGGTGTGTCCTGTGTCTTTTGAGCAGGGCATGCCAAGACAGGATTGGAGGTGTAAGCTATTTGTTGAGGTAGACTAAAAGAATAAGAGAGGAGCAGGAGCTGTCAGAGAGTCTTGAGACGGAAATGCCAGTCTGACACCTACTGAAGAAGAGACGGAAAGAAGTATTGGATAGGAAGAAAGGAAGGATTGCAATGGACCACAGTGCGGTTTTAGGTAAGTCTTGGCCAGGCCAATGGGAAGACCCAAAGCCATAGTTGCTGAGTAGAAAATTCCACATCAGTCAGGAATGGATGGTCCAGTACCCCTACCGTTCCCTGTCATTGGCTGGAAGCTCTCCAGAGAACCCCACAGTGTATCCAAAGGTGCAGCGGCTGAGGGCTGTCAATCAGCCATGTTCCTCACAGCAGATCCCCTTAAAAGGAGATCTGAGTGATCCACTTCCATGGCCACTGTGGCGATGGAACAACCCCATGTATAGGATTCATAGAGGCAGCCATCAAGGGGAGAGTAAAGCAGAGCCAGCGACTGGGGGCTCTTCAGAAAGGAAGGGGAAGATGTCCAGGCAGCAAAAGCTTAGGGTGAGGGTTCCCAGAAACCAACTTTTAACTTAGCTTTCCCCATTCAGCCATAACTTTTTACCGCTTTGCTAAGTTGGAAACAAGTTAAAGAAGGCCCTTTGGGTCCAAAACACATTAAAAAACAAAACACAGAGACACTTGTAACCAGGGCCTAAACTCAACACTGGCAGGTGTGGCAGCCACCGTGGCATCCGAAGCGCCCATCATGCTGAGAGTGGCAGCCTCGGGGATGTCCCAGGCATGTCAGCCCAGGCCACTCACTTGGAATGCCATTTCCCTCCAACTTCCAGTGAATCTCTCCAGTGATGGACAGGAATGTGTGGAGGCAGAATAAGGTGGTGTCACTACCAAGGAAAGATATTGAGGAGGGGGCAGTAACCTGCATAATAATTCTCAGCTTACTTCTCATGGAAGTACCAGATGCCACTGTGGAAATTAAGTGATTCCTGAGCTAAGACATTATTGCTTCAGGGTGTGCCTAAGCATGAAAGTCCCCTGCATGCATGAATGCAATTCTCTATCTAAATACCCAACTCACTGTCAGGAAAAAATGGGCCCTAGTGAGTTTTCGTGGGTGCAAACAATTGTACCCAGCTGACCAACCGACTAAATGCTCCTATTCAAAGACTGGGAGGAAATGAGTACAAATATTGACAGCAGAAAATTTTAGTGGCCTGTGCTCTGTTTCTTAGGCTAGTGGAGACCGTTAAGGATTATTCTCCTCTCTAGGCCCACGTCTGGCCACTATGTTTCAAGTTCTAGGTTCATGGGATTTCAAGGTTAGAAAGGACCAGGTAAACCATGCCACCCAATCCAGCATGAGCTGAAATGTTGATGACACTGTCATGGAGAGGTACAGACCTGGTGATGACATCACATTTGCTTCCCTTTCTGCTGACCTGAAAACAGCTAAAAGTAGCTACTGGTTCATGCCCTGGCTCTCATAACTATTTCTTGTCCAAGGTTTTCT